ATATACCAAAAACATTATTTTTCATATATAACATAATATTTCTCGTTTTTTATAAAGTAATTAATACAAATATTAATTCAAGTAATTAGTAAATGTAGTCTTGATCCCTTTACTTTGACAATAGAACTCAATCAAGAACGCTGACAATTTATTTGATGTTGCCCTCAGTATGGTTTATCAATTACAACTAAGTGGTGATGCGTCGAGCGTATTATACATCAAATTGATGGTTTGAATTTAGTTAATATAATATAATAAGTGGAAATACAAGTTACAATTACAGCTTTATAAATTAGTAGATTGATTAAGTAACCGTAAAGTTTTTAGTTAGAAAATCCTCTTTATCATGTACCTACTTATATTTTTTTCAAACAATGTTTAATAATATATACGTATATTATATTTATAAGAGTATTTAGACACCACTGATAGACGGTGAAGAAAAACATCGTGAGGAAACCTGAACATATAATTTCCAATTGTATATTTGAAATCACCAATCCGTCTTGAGCAAGCGTGGTGATCAATGCTCACCCCTTCTCCATGTGAGAAGAGGCAGCTCAGCAGTGGGCTCTGATAGACTGATGACGACGATGATGAATGTTATATTGCCATTGCGTGGCATTTAATTGCAAAATCTATACAGTATATTTTTACGGTTGTTCAGGAAGAAATTTAAGATTCATAGCTTTCATTACTAAGATGACATATTTTCGCTGGAGGTAATCGGAGACTAAACAAAAAACTAACAGTCATAAGTATGAATTAAAACAACTGTATTTCTATCCATTATTATACACACATAATATTATTCAAACATATTGCTCCATTAATTGTTCTCTCATAAAACTAGGACATAATAAACCGGACTTGTGAATGAGTTTAAAGTTTTATCATTATAGTTGTCATAGGCTTAAAAAGACATAACTCCGAACAAACGTAAAATCGTAACAAAAACCGGTAATGAGGTATTTCCAAAAATTAAGTAGCAGCGTTTACAACGGATTGAATCATAAAAGAGACGTAAAATTTTTATTGATGTTATAAAATAGTTTATTGAGTTCATAGCTCTATTATACCGCGGTTCATCGATTCTTATTAATACATATTTTTATCTATTATATTATTGTTATATGTATATCCGTCTATATGAAAGGTGGAAAACTTCTATAATTCGATATTCTTTTATATAAATTAAATAAAAGGAGTCTTTATTTTTTATTTATTTAATATTTTCTGAATCTATTTGTGGTCAACAAAATATGTTCTTTTCTTCTTGTTAATGATTCGTCATCTCATTTACTCAATCATCCATATTTCTTACGGGAATGAAATAAAAACTTTAGTTTTTTCTTAAACTTCGAATTAAATCATATCAATTTGTTTTCTCGGAACTATAACCTGGTTTACATAGAGATTTATATATTTTTTTAAGTCATATTCACTCTAAATGTTCTATCACATATAATGTTTTAATTTTAATCTAACAAATATTAAATAACGGTTATATATTAAGCCTTACAAACATACGTCTAAGCTTTTAGCTGGTTTGGCACGCGGCGTCTGCGAATTCATATAGCAATGTTATAATTTACCCTCTCAATAAATAAACAGATGAAACGTAGTAGCAAGTTCATTAAAATAATTTATTTACACCCACCCACACAGTTATTCATAATAATTATACGGTATAGTATAAAATAACAACTCGATTTTTTTACTTACTGTATCCTTTACTATCAAAAATTTTAATGACGAATTTATGGGTAATTCAGGTAACACGGGTTATGGGGTAACACAAATAACAGTTCTGAGATGGGTAACTGGTGACAGGGGTAACAAAGGGAACACGGGTAATGACGGTAACAGGGTTAAAGGATGTAACACAGATCTGTTAGCATAATTATTCTCTTATAGATGACAATTCTACAATTTATGGTTACGTTCGGTACAAGAAAAATACCTTACCCTTAAATATTTTGTTATTGGTTGGTCTTCTGTATTTTTTATTGGAATTTTAATTTAGATATTAGCTCAACATTTCTGTAATAAAAACATAAATAAACATATCTTAGCTGTAGGTTTGTGCTTAAAAACAGTAGTTAAAGAAAAATGCAAAGATTTGTAAGGGCCAGTGAAAGTTAAGTATGCTATAATAATTTTCGTTTACTGTTTTCGAAGTTATTCCTCTTAACTCTTAGTTTAATGATTAACTATCAAAATGTAATGTATTTAGTTAACTTCTGCTTATTATTAGGACTTACTTCTTACAATGCTAAAGAGTACATAATCATATATTTTGTAAATATTCTCTATATTGGTCTTCATAGAAAAAATTTATACGTATACCCAAACAAAGACTTGCATCTGAAAGTATGCACTCAGTTAAGAAAATCTGAGTTGTGTATTTTAATCTCAAATTAATATGACTGATATTAATCTTGCCCTAAGAAAGTACATTTTAGAACATTATCAGTATTTTACCATACAACGCAGCAATATATAATGTTGTAACCAACTAAATGTAGCCAAGACATTTTTAGTAATATTTTGGCAAAGGTTATATCCCCACTATAACTCAACGAAATTCAGTCGATATATAACGGCGCCGTGGGGAATTCTGAGCCAAATCGCATTACACCCTCTAGCTAATATTAAACGTATTTATGCGTTTACGTCGGTTCTTATTAGATTCATGACGTATGCATGCATGCGGGCTCTAATCCAAATAAATATATGAAATAGTTTGAAAAATGCAAAGAAATATTTATATTTTGTTGTATTATACATTAAGTTAATGCTTTATTATGCTCAAATCTTCTCCATGTGAGAAAAGGCCTTTGCTCAACAGTGGACTCTGATAGGCTAATGATGATGAATTATTAAGTAATAAATATAGACCAAAGGTATATAATTTGTGGATTTTATATGAGACTAGATTTTGTATGCGATTTTGAATAAGCTTCAAAGAAAAATTTGTTAAGTTTGTTAAAATCTTATATTATTTTAAAATAACGTCAGTGTCATCTATAGTATGGAACTACACAGAATAGAAGAATAAAGGATAGCTTATGTCTTATTATAAATTATACTATCAAAATCTGTTTCTTAGTTTTTATGCCAAAAGAGCAACAAACATACAAACATAAATCTTCTCAAATATCTGCATTTTTAGAATTAATACATATATCACATTTATATTACATACTAATGAGATCAAAGAGTCGTGAGTCTTATTCATTTAAATGAAACTAATATTTTTCGGATATACTACGCGATTTTATTTTTTTAAAAACTCCCGACGTTTCGGTTACTTTTCAGCAAAATATTAGTTTCATTTGAACATATTATTTTCTATCTAATATATCAAATATAAATGCTTGAAATTTCGTAATATTCTATGAATATATTATAATCACAGTTCAACGATTTGGCAATAATTATTCTCCTCATATGTGTCTATTTCGGCTTCAGCATGTAACAAATATTGGCTTGATACCAAACGATATTTATATTACATTTCAACTTGCTTTGATTAAATGTTAAATATATAAGAAATTTTATAATTGAAAATCAAAATTGATTGAACAGTATGAAAGATTTGATGATTTCTTATAGAAATAAGCCCGCCTTTGTCAACTTGTTCTGGATGTAAAATAACTATGTAATTTTACTGTGCAATAAAGAGAATATAAAGATTTAAATTTAATTTATACTATAATTGATCGAAATTTCATAATTTTTCGAAAATTCGGAACAATAAAACCATATAAAATTTTTACTATTACGCAAATGGCAAGAAAAAAAATCCTTAAGAACCTATAGAATTCCAAATATAACTTTTCATCTGAAATAAGTATTTTTATTGGAATGTTTTGTTTGCAATAAAAAAAGTCATTATTTGAGACTTTGTGATCTTTTTATAGCCTAAGTGGTTATGGGTAGTTGCAAGTTACAAAATTTGAAACTTCGAATGCGATATATATGTATGTAGTATATAATATGTGAATAGAAAAATTATATCGTATTAAATAATTTAATTACATTAATGTTCCTCACAAAATGGCAAAACAAATCTTACGAAGTTATTAACAACAAATAAGTACAAATCTAAAGTACCCTGAATTGCTTTTCTTGATTATAGGACTTTCTTCTAATCGCTTACTTGTTTACTTAGTGCGGACTTGGGGTGTGGTCGCATTGAAAGCGTAAATATCTTTCAAAAGTTACTATGATTTTCAGATTTATTTTTTTGGTAAATCTTATTATTTTTTTGTCACCTAAGTTTTGATGTATTCTTAAATTTAATACTGAAATGTATAAGGTCTAAAATGTATTTTTTGTTGTAATATTTTGTGATAAAATTAAAAACAGATGCTTGTTTAGTGTGAATATATTAGAGAAGACGAGAAAAGTCCCTGGAAAATTATGTCATAGCAAGTTTCTGCTAAATGCTTCCTTGTTTACAAAGTGAGGGTATGTACTATTACTTTATGCAGTGCTTTGAAATATAACGTTAAATATTCAATAAGTAGGTATATATGGGCCTTTCTCTACTAACTGGAAACTTGTCTATTGACAGTTGTCCCAACCCTATTATTCTAGAAAATTAAAAATATAATATGTTAAATCTATAGATAGTTATAATATAAATACATGTAAACAAGAAACCATTGTAATTATCCCTTATTTTTCGAATTATAGGCAATTTTGTAAAAAATGGCGACAGAGGACTGTTTTGCCACCCAGAGGACTGTTTTTTCCACCCAGAGTACAGTTTATGTCAATGTTTATATGAAAAAAAACACAATATTAATTATTAAATGTAATCAAATAAATTATCTTCTTTATTGAATACTGTATCACATACAGAATTTAAATACTTATATTTATCAGGAACAAATTGCGAGCTTAGCTGTCTAAGTAACGAATTAAAATAATTATAATCAAAATTAAGCTTAGGTACTAACAATCAGTCTTGTTTACTTATCAATGCAGACTTATTTCTCAAAAACAGGTACAGGTGTATTAAAATAATAAAATATTCGTTTCCCTTTTAGGGCAATATCTGGGTTTGGCAACTTCTTTAATACTTGGTCAAAGGACACATCAGAAACATCATTTTCATCGACTCTGAATGTGTGTCCTTTGTCATCACAAATTTTTAAGAAGGTTACTGTTAGTTCGCCTTCTTCCGTGTCTATCTTATTGATTACTGCTGCATAACAATATTCAGTCTTTCTTACTAGAAATTTAACCAAGACGTAATCACCGATGGTGTAATTCTGTTGGTTGATTGAACTAGGTCCAGCCAGTGCAGCGTCGTCGTCGATCTCCATTGTGGAATCCTGTGAGTTGTCCATGTTTTCACTTTCAGAGTCTGTGTAAATATCATCTACGTTAAGTTTTGTCTTGTTTTTGTACTCTAACACTCCCAAATTGAAATGCTGGCAATCGTCTTCACAAGTACAACTTAAACTTTTCATTATGAGTTTAGCGGCACATGGAGCTGATTCCAGAGGACTTCTTAATATTTCAGCCTTTACTTGATGTATTTTTAGAGTTCCATTAAAGCTTTTTAAATTAACTGTTTCATTTTGAAGGTCGTCTGTCAATTCTTGGATGGCTTTATCGTCGATTGTGAACAAGGTAATTGCGGAACATCTTCGTTGAATGGCATCTACAAATGATTCCAAGCTATCAATATCACCTCCTGTAGCGACGACGGCGTCAGCGGTTCTCTTGCAGGTCGCTCCAACGCCATCAGGGGCCCCTTTGCCATGACCACTCTCTGAATAGTTCCAGGTAAACTTCTTCACATTTGAAACCTCTTGTTGAAGCCTTGATGCCAGGATGTAAAACATCGTTTCTTTCTAGCATTACGCTTTCTCGCATTACTTGCATTACTTCGTGGAGTGGTCATAGGTAGTATTGATGGAGAGACAGAACTTTGAGGAGAAGGTGAACCTTCGGATTCGGGCGTATTTTGTCGTACAAAATTGTTTGTAATTTCTTTCAAAGCTTTTTTTTTTGCACGATAGGTAGCACAGTGCTTTCTCCATTCTTTAGTCATAGCTTTGTGTTCACGTCGACTCATATCTTTAACTGACTTTCTTGTACCTTTTTCCTTCTTTTTTTGGTAGTTTCGTCGTTCTTTTTCCTTCAATTGCTCTCTTTTTACAGGGTCATTTTTTAGCCGTTGATATCTTAATCTTTCCGCAATTCGTTTCTGCTCTTTTATTTCTTCTTTAGTTTTAGGTTTCTTCTTTGGTGGCATTGCGGCAATACTAAAACAATAAAACATACTTTCGATGTTCAAAAAAACCGTAAGGGTTTAAATACAGATAGTTACTAGGTACGTATTATTTTTTAGTCCAAAATCCATAATAATAGAAAACAAAAAACCTGAATTAGCATGACAGGCCAATGTAAGAAAGAAAGAGGCTATCGGCAAGCAGTAGATTAGTGCAGACTATAAAGAATATTAATAAAATACACGGACGTCAAATAAAACAGTCCTCTGTCACATTGAACAGTCCTCTGTGTTATAAATTTCCAGAGGACTGTTGCACAGAGGACTGTTATTTTTACGTAAAAAATGACATACCACGTATCAGTTTAAATATTATTTCATAACACAGAAACAGCTATAAATTATCACACTGAGCAATTTTTTTTGTTAAATAAATATATTATAACACATAAAACACCGTAAAATAGACTTACCAGAGGAATGTTCACTCAACGCTACAGAGACGTGGCTCCCACACAGACGCGGAGTTGTAACTGCGCAAAATGGCGGCGACTTGTTTACCATGGCGACCGAGCAAACTTCACACTGTTAACGTACCGTTTCACACAAAATGTAACCACAATAGTGTTTAATATTTTTCTGGCGCGATATTCAAATTGTGACAGAGGACTGTTCAAAAATGTATGGACAAAATTCGAACACTAGTTTTTAGTACTAAAAAATTCTCTAAAATTATGATTGTTTTTTGTTTATATGCATTCAATATTCTTTATGTTCATAGAGCTATAAGATTCTACATTTTTAAATACAACTAATAAAAACTGACCCGAATCATACTCGATCCGGAATTAGGACATAACAGAGGACTGTTTTTAGTGGCTTTTAGACCGAATTTATGAAATGATTATGATTCTAAATATTGATTAAGCTTGGCTCCTTAAATAACAGGTTATATATTATGTGTTTTCATAAATAAAACTATGCATTAATATAGCCAAAGTAAAAAAAAATGCTTGGACCATGATTTTCCTGTTAGTAGAGAAAGGCCCATATACCTATTCTCGAATTGTTGTTAATTTTATTATATATTTCTTCCATTATTATTAACGTGAATACAAAACTTGTTTTAATTAAATCAATAAAAAATATTAACTAAAAGAAAGATATATGAAAAAAAAACGGTATTTCAAGTTAAAGTTATATGCCATTATTATTTTTTTCTGCTAAAGGGGGCAACCGAGCAGACGGCCTACCTGATGAAGGTAGTACCATCGCTCTTAGACATCCGCAACATAGTACTTCATACTTTTATTAAAATAGTAATGCATATTTGATATTTTTTTCATTTAATCTTCCTCACTCAAGAAACGATTCAGTTTGAAGACACAGACACTCTTGCCAAAACTCAAGTGTAGCGTCGATTTAAAAACTCATAAAAATATTTGTATTTAAATACAGCATTACTAATTTTCATTCTGTATACCGATTTAGGGATTTATGTAAAGTTATTTATTTATAATAACAAATATACAGTAGATAATGAAACTTTAATGAAGTAAAACAAACATATTTAACATATCAAGCAGTAATAAAACCTAAGTTTTCTTTAAGATTATGGTTGAACAGATATAATACGAGTATGTATTAAAAATTTCCTCATAATAATCTCAGTATATTGTTAATATAGCTAATTAATTATCGTAAGTAAATCGCCATAACTGCGACCACACGTTCGCTGAGTCATTGAGGGTGAAATGTATATAAAGGGAAGACTCAGCAGAATTAGTTTGGTAGGTTATAAAAATATTTTGATGTAATGACATGTATAGTTCATATATTCAAGTAACGAAAGAAGATAATTAGTAAAGATATAAAATTATTGTACTATTTGAAGTAGAAAGGATTTAAGGAGTGTAAAAAATTTCAAAATAGGTACATTTAGGTAAAGGAATTGATGTTAATGAAGATGTTTTGTTCAAAATTTTGTTTTGGATACATTTTAATCGAATTAAAAGGAGTTTTCGCGTACTTTTCTTAGCGTACATCGACTGCAAAAGATTACAAGATAGATTATTAATTCCTATAACATAATTCCAAAAATATTTCTCTATCAATATTGCTTTGAAATGACGTTGAATTTTGTATAACATATTTCATATAAATTGGATAGGAATATATTTATTTTTTTGTATTCCATTGGTAGCGGTACAGCCAATAGAGACGAATAGCTCTGGAACCCTATTCACTTTAATAAGATTGGACTATTTTATAAATAGCGCTCGCTTTTTATTTATTTGTATTACTATATATATATTTGTGTATATTTTATATATTACGAGTTTATTAACGAGTTATAAATAAGGCAGGAATGGCTATAATTGATCAGGAAATATTGCAGTAGTTCCATTTTAATAGTGAATTAAGAGAGGAAATAATTTTTATATAAATAAAAGAAGATTTAAGGTTTTTATAATTAAACAACAAACAATAGTTGCTATAGCCTCTGTAAGCTCGAAAGATATTTGAGGATCACTTTACTAACTAGCGGTAAATGGGATATAGTATCTTATTTGACTGCAGGCTGTAGTACATATATGTATTATACAATGCAATTATTACGTCAGTACAATTGCTTTAAATTTAGATTATAATAAAGATTTCTCTCCAAATATACGAAACCATTCAAAAGTTCCGTCATCATAATAAATAAATATTGTTAGAAGTATTCGATAAACATGAAATCGTATGAAATATCTCGACGACAGAAATAACGAAGCTGACAATCATTCGGCTCCCCTTGAGTTTGAATTTTGAAACAAATGGCTTTTAACGGGAAGAGGAGAGCGCTTTTTATTTTGCACCTCATTTTACGACAAACTGAGAACAGCCACTTGGGTAAATTTTCGTGTTTTTTTCTGTATTTTTCTATAGAACGTTTCCTTTGTGTGAACGTAAGTCACAGGTTTCTAATGTACTGGCTACTATCAGAGATGATTGCAGCGTTCAGACTGAAATTTCTTTTGTTTCTTTCCAATAAACGATAATACTTTATAGTAACAAACAAAGCTGGGTTTATAAACTTGTTTTATATGAACAATGTTTATTTATTATATACATAGAAGTTTTAAATCTATTACACTCTAAATGTGACTAAAATTTTTGGGATATACTACGCGGTTTATTTTTGTAAAAACTTCATACTCCCGACGTTTCGGTTACTTTATAGCAACCGTGACCATTAAGACGAGATTTGAATCTATTACATTTTAATATATATTTGTTATAACCACGCTTGCTCAAGACGGGTTGGTGATTTCAAAGTTATATGAAATTATAAGTCCAGGTTTCCTCACGATGTTTTCCTTCACCGTCTGTCAGTGGTGTCTAAATACTGTTGGAAAGTACCACTGATTTAATATTATTTACGTAAATTATAATTTCTTATTTAAATCAGAATATAAATTTTATGAAAATTAGGTAATAACAAAGCATTATAGTAGTTTTATATGAACTGAAATATCTGTAATCTAGATTCTAGATTGAAATTAATCAGAATGAGCATAAAACAAGTCGACCTTTATCGTATAAATCCGTAAATTTTTAGTTTATTTATTCAAGGGTACCTTAAGGTTAAAATTATTCGCGTGTAACTCACCCAACAGAGACGCGGCTATGCTAATACAGAAAATGCTTTCACTATTATGTAAAGGCAATCTTTTCTAGAAGTTTTTACCTATATATACTTACATATATATATCGTATATGTCGTATTTGAAATATTACCATTTATTACAAGAAGAGTGGAGGGTAAAGTAAAATATCTTTATTTAATTTAATCAATATTAAATCAGAATTTAATAGGTTTATATTTTGTTCCAATATACAAAATATTTCTACAGTTAACGTGAAATAATGTTTGCAAAATCCATACATTATAAAGAAATATGTCATATCAATACTACAGTCTTTAGTTATTAGGTTACAAGGTAAATTAAAAATGCTTATCAATTATTTTTTTGATCACGATATTATCATTTAATTATTGTTTGGTAAAAATATTTATATTTCGTTACTAAAAATTTGTTGCTCGAAGACGTGTTTTGAAATTACAACATGAAAAACTAATATGAGGTAATATATTTTTTTATATTGAATATTCTTGTAATAAAAAAAATCAATATCGTATCCATTTAATATTATTTTCCTGATTAATCGATGTAATCGATAATGTTAATTAAATATAACATTTAAATGAAACTAATATTTTTCGGATTGTAGTCCTCGTATTTTATAGATAGTTAGATAGGGCTCCCTTAAACCTACACCTGGGTCACAAGTCCCAGTCACTGTTGAAGCTCCTCTCACTACAACGAGGGACTCGGCACCAGCACCGTGAATACATTGAATGATGAGAGGTTTCGTTTCTATTTTAAAAAGTACATACTTTCGACGTTTCGATTACTTTTCAGCAACCGTGATTATTAAGACGATATATTATTATATAACATTGTTATATAATAAATAAATACCTCATACATACACGTTTAATTGCTCAAGATATTTATGTAAAGTTTGAGGTGCAGTGTGTTTCACTCCTGTACCATTCAAGAGCGCATCCCTCGTGTACATTACTTATATAGATCGACTTGCCATATGCAAGTTACACAGAGCAATACGGAACAGAGGCTGCATTATAAAAATTAAAATATATGTTATTAATTAACACATTATTAAAGTTCTTAGAACTTTAATTTTAATTAAATGTAGAAGTTTGTTATGTTACAATCTTGTAGGATGGAAGAGTTAACCTTATTTGTTCTTAATTTTGTTAATATCTTTTAAAGTTTCACGGATCCTTAAAATCAATGGAGTTATGGTTTTTTTCTATACATGCATATATTTGGTGACTATAAAAAAAGTTAATATACTTATAATAATAATACATGAAATTCTTAATTATGATACTATTTGGTGTATTAACTTATATTTTTAAAAATTACCTTAAATCAATTAATACGAGGTAA